CCTGTAATCTCAGGCTGAGGCAGGAGGATCACTGCCAGGTCAAGGCCTGGTTTATATAGTGAGTTCAAGTCCAGCCTGAACTGCATAATGAGACCAAAAAAAAAAAAAAAAAAAAAAAAAAAAAAAAAGGGCTGAGGATGTAGCTCAATGCAAAGGCCTTAAATCACCAGTACCACAAATTAGAAAAAAAGAAACAAAATAGCCATCCTTTCTCTCATTCAACCACTCATCTCATCTATCAACATATATTTAGGGCCAGGATTGCTAAGTCTGCAGGGACATTACTCTCTTCTGAAGCTGGTCCTGGGTTCAACCCTCAGCACCATAAAACAACTGTCTTGGTTACTCTTCTCTTGTTGCTGAGACAAAATACTTCACACTCAGAATTAAGGAAGGAAAGGTGTATTTAGCTAACAGTTTGTGGAGGTTTCAGTCCATACTCAGCTGGCTCCAAGGCAGAGCGGCACATGGCAGAGGCAACAGTTCAAGGGAACAGAAGACAGTCAAAGCAACAAGAGCAAAAGGGAGGAGCAGCAGCAAGCAGCTTCTTTCCCTCCCTTACATTGTATGCAAACTACCAGCCCAAGGGTAGGTGTAGCACTCACACCCATAATCCCAACATTGGACTATGAATCAATCATAAAGTCTAGAAGCCCACTCCAAGACTGCATGAGGCTTTGCGAGGACATCCAGACAATCCAGACAAACCATAACACCAACCAAACAGAAAACCTGGCAAACACACAGTACTCCTCTCTGACCATTGGAATATTTGGAATACCCAGGAAGGCAATGAACTGATTCTGCAGAAATGGGTGTTAAAGGGATGAGAAAGCAGAAAAGTTTTTGGTCCCTAGACACAAAGGGTCTTTTGGGGATAAACAAAGGCTAGAAATGCACTGGCTTCTGCTAGTCCTCTTATCTTACATTTCAAGGAAACAATTCAGCCAAGAGCTAGTTGACAAGAGCAGTACAAAAACAGATGCCAGGGAAAGGCAGGTGCTATAAATGGAGAAAACTCTATGGTGAATAAATGCTTATTTATTAAACAAAGTCCTATTACCTATAAGAAACTCTTAACATAATTCCATTTCAAATTCCTTTTCTTCAAAGTTCTAAATAAGAAAAAAGCAAACTGTCTAGTCAGTTAAATGTATGAAGGTATTACCTCAGTAAAGGTTCAGAGAATGAATTTTCAGATCTCACAGACCCAACTTGTTCACTTATGAGCAGCACAGCCTTGGGACAATCAACTATCTCTCTCCCCTACTTCTCTCTTTTTTGGCACTAGATGGAATGCAGTGATGCTCTGCCACTAAGCTATATTCCCAATGCTTTTTGTTCTTTATTTTGAAATAGAGGTTTGTTAAGTTGCCCAGGTGGGACTGGAACTTTCAATTCTCCTGCCGCAGTCTCCCTCAGTCTCCCTCAGCAGTGGGATTACTGGCCTGTTCCACCATGCCCGCATGAGACAATTTTTTTTTCTTTTTTGAGACAGGGTCTTGCTGTGTAATTCAGGCTGGCCTCAAATTTGCAGCAAGCGTCCTGCCTCAGCCTCCTGAGTGCTGGGATTACAGGCATGGGCCACCATGCCTGGCTCCCCCTCCCACTTGAAAAATGCTATTATCTTTATTTTGCTCTTTATATTTTGGGTTTCTTATATAAGAGAAACCATGGGCTATTTAAACTTGTGTCTTGGGGTTGGGGATTTAGTTCAGTGGCAAAGTGCCTGCCTGGTAAGCACAAGGTCATGAGTTTGATTCCTGGTACTGGAAAAAAACCAAAAAACCAAAATAATAAATAAATAAATAAAACAATAAATAAAACTTGTGTCTGATTTATTTCACTTAACATATGGTCTCAGGGGGCATCCATTTACCTACAAATGGCTCAAGTTTATCCTTCTTTATGGTGAAATAGTACTCCATTATGTAATCATTACTGCAAACATACTAAAAATAAATACATAATAATAATAAATAAAATAAAAGAATATGCACACATGTACATATATAGTCATGAAGGAACTTGGAGAATATATTGCAAATCTTTAACTGTTGTCACATCTAGGGAAGGGAGGTGGGTGGAGGCCAGGATTATGGGAGCTGGGCACATTTTATTCAGCATATTTACCTATCTCCTGGTGACTTTCAAATGCAGTGATTAAGAAATAAAAATTAAAAGTTGTACATGTATTTAAAAATACATTAAGTATTTACTATGTGCCATATGTTGTGCTGAAAATTTAAAAGTATGCTCAGTTCATTTAATACTTCCAACATGCCTATGAAATGGTTTCACTTTACACTTAGTCTCCCTTTACAAATTAAAAAACTAAAGTTTACCTGGGTATGGTGGTGCATGCCTGTAATCCCAACTACTTCGGAGATTCACATTTGAGACCAGGCTGGGCAGTTCAGCAAGACCTTGTCCAAATAAACAAATAAATGAGGATGTATATCAGCACTCTCCAAGTTCAATAACCAGGACTGCAAAAACAAACAACAAAACAAAAACCAAAAAAGCTAAGGCTCAAGTAACAACAAGACTAAACTAAAACCAAAAAGTTCAGGTTTAGAAGTGCTGGAATTGGGGCCGGGGATATAGCTCAGTGGCACAAGTGCCTGCCTGACAAGTGCAAGGTCCTGAGTTTGATTCCCAGCACCAAAAAACAAACAAACAACAACAACAACAACAACACAAAAAGTGCTGGGACTGCTGGGTATGGTGGACATGCCTGTAATCCCAGGACTCAGGAGGCTGAGGCAGGAGGATTATTTTGACTTCAAGACCAGCCTGGGCCACAAAGTGAGCTCAAGGCCAGCCTGAACTGCATAGCAAGACACTGTCTTTAAAAAAAAAAAAAAAAAAAAAAAAGTGCTGGGATTTAAACGCAAATCTGACTTTCACCCCAAGATCTTGCTTTTTATGGCTTTTTTGTTTTGTTTTTTTGGTTACTGGGATCTAATCCAGTGCCTACACATGATAGGCAAGAGCTCTACCACAGTTAAACTCCCAGCTGAAGACTTTGCTTTTTTCTTAACCATTTAAAAATTGCAATGATGTCTCTAAGCTAAAGGAGATAGAGGATTTTTCTTTTCTTTTTTTCTTTTTAACACAGGGGCTCATTATGTAGTTTAGGCTGGCCTTTAACTCACTCTGTAACCTAGGGCAGGCAGGACCCCCTTTTTGTCCATTAGGATACCTCCTCCCTAGGTGCACCTGGGAGGCTGAGCGGGAAGGACCACTAGAGCTCAGGAGCTGGAGAATACCAACCCGGGGAGTACGGAGAGCCACACCCCCCCCCACACACACCCCGCATCACGAAACTTTGCCAGAGGGGAAGGACTCTCACTGAGAAAGAGTGCCCCACCCTGGGCTCCCAGCAGGGGCTCAACAGTCTCAAATCCCTCCACACCGTCCCCTTTCCCTTAAATAAGGTCTGCATTGCTGGACAGAGCTCACTCTTGGGGATAATATCCTAATCAGAAAACCCTTCCTTCAATTCAGAGGGTGCCCACCCTGGACAAATATTTCAGAAGAGGACCAGCTAGGGGTGCCTTGTTTTAAAAATGAAGAATCTCTGCCGGTGTCGTGTTGCACATCTGTAATGCTAGCTACTCCGGAGGCGGAGACAGAAGGATCGCGAATTCGAGGCCAGTCTGAGCAATTCAGGGAGACTCTGTCTCAAGTCTCAAAACAGCGGGAGAGAGACTGAACTAGGACCCCTCCTGTGCGCCTAACTGCACTAGCGGCTTGCCCTAGAAGCCGACCTTGCTTCAGAGATACCTTTTCATTGACTAGTTTCAGTCAAAACTCGTAATCTTTCTGAGACCGGGTGGGAGGTACGTGAAGAAGGGTCGTCACCCGACTTCTAGAGGCTGTCGTTCGAAAACACACTCTGGGCCAATCTCAGGGGATTTGGAATCACTTTCCTAAGCTCAGGCAGAAGCTCCCCTCGCACCCCTCTAGACAGCTGGGTGGTCCTTGTGACTCAGCCCCAGCTATACCTTCTGTGTGTGCGGGCCTCACAGATAGCAGTCCATTGCCGGGGCAACCGACGCCGTGAGCGGTGCATTGTGGTCTGCAACAAAATGCAAGAGAAAAATCCTGAGGGAACCATTGAGCCCATGGACCAATGGGAAGAGCATAATGTCTGAGATAAACCAATAGGGACGCGCGGCGTGGGCGGGGCCTGAGGGCGCAGGGCGGGGCCTAGCCGCTAGGCGGCGGCGGCTGGCGTGGGGCTACTTTAGATGCGCCACGGCTTCGGTAGCTACAGCGTCTCTGTGCCGGCCCGAGTGGTGCCAACACCTCCTGTAGGAGACCGTTGCAGTCAGCCAGCCCCTGCTCCACGGTGAGAGACTCGGGGGTCCTCCCTACCTGGCGTTGCCCCAGTTGGCTGGAATTCTCCCGCTGTGAGGTCAGCAGGACCCGTGTTTCCTCAGAAGCGGGGGTGGGGGCGTCGTCCAGGGTGGCCCCGGCAGGGGGTGGGGAGCCCGCGGCTCGGAGGCGCGGCCCGTACCTCAGCCCCTAACCTATAGCGCGGGCCTCGACCCCTAGGTGACCATGTGCGACCGAAAGGCGGTGATCAAAAATGCGGACATGTCGGAAGAGATGCAACAGGATTCGGTGGAGTGCGCTACTCAGGCGCTGGAGAAATATAACATAGAGAAGGACATTGCGGCCCACATCAAGAAGGTGAGGACAGGGCACAAGCCCCAACTTACTTCTTTCTCCCCTTCCTACATCCCCAAGGCGCGCGACGGAGCTTCTGGGGACACGAGGGAGGCACGGGGCGTAGACCTTTCCAGAAAGGACGCAAGTGAATTTGCGCTCCTATGGGGAGCACCAGACCCTTGGCGGCCGAAGTTTTTTGTTTTTTAGGGTTTTTTTTTTTTTGTTAATTACACTGCTCCACGGGGGAAAGCGCCACCTAGCAACGGTTTCCAAGATCAGGGAGCTGTGCGCAGTTCCCTCTCCTGTAGGATTCCTGCATCCAGGATCCATCTGGGTGTTCCTGAGGGGGGAGCTGCGTGGGAGTTTCCAGCCGGCCCAGAGGGAAATCTCCAGCCTCCCAGTGGGGAGCTGGTCAGCAGTTAAGGGAAAGTGAGGGGCAGTGGTGATAGGGGCTGGGGCAGGGGCTTGGTAAATGGCAGTTTGCAGAATGCTTGGCAGGACAGCCAACTTCTCCAGCTGTGTTTTCTGGAAGGGAAGGAAGCTGGCAGCCCAAGGTGTGGGAGGTTACAGTGGAGAACGTGAAGATGGACGATGAGACAAATCTATACACACACAGCAGTGTGTACATCTAGCCTGTAAGAAGAGTCCTCTTTTTGATAGACGGAAAAGAAGTTTTCACACTACGTAATATGAGAGCTAAGAATAGCCAAATTTTGTGTTGAATCATCACAAGGAATTGTAAGAATTTTATACAGAGATTATCTTTGGCCCTGTCAGTTATACTCCGAGGGAAGACATTAACACAGGTTTTCTAGTTCCATTGCTCCCTGAGGTGGAGAAAGAGGGAGGAGATGTTCCTGAAACTTGCTCCTTTGAGGACCAGGTAGTGGGTTAGCACCACTGATGTGGAGAGAAGGCGTATTTAAATTATTAGGGATAAAATTTGGCCAGTTAGCTGTCAGGTTCTGCTTCCAGCAGTCTTATAGGAAGAGAGGCCTGGTTAAGAGTCTTGTTCTTTTAAATCTAATTTTTTGTTTTACAGAGCTGGGGGTGAAACCAAGGTCCTATGCATTGTCCTGCCACTAAGCTACATCCCCAGCCTAAATCTAAATTTTGATTGGCAGTTGTTTAAATGCTAATTAACAGCCCCCCCTCCCTCCAAGGCTGTTGCTTTGTGTTTCATCCCTAGCTCTTTTTTTGTTCGTTTTGTTCTGTTTAATTTTTTGCCTTTTTGAGATAGGGTTTTACTATGCAGTTCAGGCTGGTTTTGAACTCACTTGTGGCCTGCAACTCGCAGCAATCCTCCAGCCTTAGCCTCTCCAGTGCTGGAATTACAAGCCTGCGCCACTGCACCCAGACCTCGCCGGATTTTTCTTTTGAGACAGGATCTAGCCCTGGCCAGGCTTGAACTTGCAGTTCTGCAACCTTCCAGAGGGCTTGGGATTACAGGCATGTGCACCATGTCCATTTAAGCTGTCCTTTTGGAAATTTTGTTTACAGGAGTGGAAATTTTGTTTACAGGAATGTAGTTAAAATCAGGTTTGGGTGCATGGTAAATGTAATAGGATTGTTTGGTTTTACTTTCCCAGAAGAACGTAATAAATTACTGTCACCTACTATCAGTGAATTTATTTTTATTTTATATATATATATATATTTTTTGGTTTTTTGGTTTTTCTCCGCTACCAGGAACCGAACTCACGACCTTGCGCTTGCCAGGCAGGCGCTTTTGCTGCTGAGCTAAATCCCCGGCCCCTATCAGTGAATTAAGAATGTAGAAATCAGTAAGGTGGAATTACCATACTAACAAAGCATCCTGTCTTTGAAGGCTGACCTTCCTCTTCAGCCCCCATTCTCATCTTAGTTCAGACTGCAAATATATTTGCATCAATGTACTGTGTGGGCGACTTGGAGCTGGGGAACATTCTTTCATTCAAAGAATTTGCAGATGACAGTGTTCCTCTGCTGTTCTTATAGGGTTCTGGCTTATCCAGGAAGTGAAGTCTCGTTAAGTTTAGCACTAAAAGTCTAGTTTTGTTTTGTTTTTTTTTTCCTTCCCAGGAGTTTGACAAGAAGTACAACCCCACCTGGCACTGCATTGTGGGGAGAAACTTCGGTAGTTACGTGACGCATGAAACCAAACACTTCATCTACTTCTACCTGGGCCAGGTGGCCATTCTTCTGTTCAAATCTGGTTAGAAGCATGGACTGTGCCACACACCCAGTGATCCATCCAAAACCAAGGACTGCAGCCTAAATTCCAAATACAGAGACTGAAAATCTTCAGCCTTGCTAAGGGAACACCTCGATCTTTGAACCTTTTTTGTGTTGTGTACAGGGCATTCTCTGTACTAGTTTGTTGTGGTTATAAAACATTTAGCAAAACAGCCTACGTTTGTATTTATTTTCTGTTCCATCCTTTGTGCCCCATGTGTTTTTCTTTTAATCCATTCCTTTAAAAAAATAAATCTGTTGGCAATGTATATGTGTGAACTATAATTTGTTCAAATAACAGAGTTGAAGGTGGTTTATAAATTCATCAGATAACCAGGTTGGTGGGGATGAATTCTCAGTTAACTTTCTGTGGGACTGGCCATCTTGGTACTACAGTCTTACATCTCACCTGTCCAGCAAAACATGGTAACATGATGGCACATGCCTATAATTCAGCACTTGAGAGGCTGAGGCAGGAGGATCACTGAGTTTGAGGCAAGCCTGGATTACGTAGTACAAGACTGTCTCTAAAAAAGATGGAAGGGGTTTTTATTTCCTGCCATACTGGGCATTGAAGCCAAGGTCTTTCCACTGACTTACATCCTTCGTCCTTTTTTGAGACTGTCTCACTACATCACTAAGTTGTCCAGGCTCGACTTAAATGAGATCCTCTTGCCTCAGCCTCCAAAAGTGCTGGGTTTATAGGTGTGTGTCACCTTACCTGGCTTGGAAAGTGATCTTAACAGGGAAAATAAGTTTTGTGGAGCAGTCCTCCATGTTTATATAATGAAGTCTTCACAGGAATTTAAAGTTTACAAAGTGTGAACTGAAGCTTTTTCATTAAAGGACCAAAATAAATTGAATAACCATCAAAGGTTTCCTGCTGTCAAGACTACAGTTTGAGGAAGAAATACAAGTATGGGAGACTTGGGTTTTTCTCTTCAATCCTGGGGATTGAGTTTAGAGGCTCACGAGTTCTAGTAAGCTATCCCCCAGCCTTTTTACTTACTTTTTTGTGTGTGTGTGTACTGGAAATCGAACTCGGGGCCTTGCACTTGCCAGGTGAGCTACATTCCTGGCCCCTTATTTTGTTTTTTTTTTGAGATTACAGTATTGCTATGTAGTTCAGGCTGGCCTTGAACTTGTGGGGGTCTTTCTGCCTCAGCCTGCCAAGTGCTGGGATTACAGGTATGCCTTTTAAAAACAATGTTTTTGATTTTGAGCTGCTCTCATTGTTACCCAGGCTGTCCTCTTGACTAGCTGGGCTACAGATATGTACACCACCCGTGTATCACTGCACCTAGCTGAGGGTTAGCTTTTGTAGGTAAAAGAAATATGCCACAGGCTTAGATAACCCACACTTACCTTGGGAAAATCTAAGAAGCCATCTTAGTTTCTCTATGTTATTGTCACATGAGGTAGAGTTTTAGATGGAGATTTCTCAGCAGCCAGGCTACTGCTGCACAAGAGGTAAGGATATAAATTGGTAGGGTGCTGTGCGTGGTAGGACACGCCTGTAATCCTAGCAATTGGGAGGCTGAGGCAGGAGGATCATTGTGACTTTAAGGCCAGCCTGGGCTACAAGGCCAGCTTGAACTGCATACTGAGACTCTTGTCTCAAAAAAAAAAAAAAAAAAATTGGTAAGGTGAGCAGTAGCAGTAGTGTCAGGATAAGAACATCTCTAAACTCTTACTATCTTGTGTAGTGAAGCTCTGCATCACTTTTAATTTTTTTTTATTGTTACAGTCTTTGATCAATCTTACATTCTTATGTCTGGTGGACTGAGCAACTTCGTTGAAGATAACAATATGTAATGTAGCAACCATTGTTATCCCTATCATTTTGTTTTGAGGCCATGTACCATTTTTGTTGTTTTTGTGTTGTTTTGATTTTGTCTTCATTGTTGTTTTGTTAGTCTTTTTAATTTTTAAAATAAAAAAATTTTAAAAAAAATCTCTAAAAGTTTGTTTCTTTACCAGAATTTGAGGTAAAGTTCTATTTAGAGACGGATCTCACCATGTAGTGAGGCCTTGAACTTATTATGTAGCTCAGGCTGGTCTCAAACTCATGGTGATCCTTTGGCCTCAGCCTCCCAAATGGCCGGATTACAGGTGTGTGCCACCACGCCTGGCCTGGAACATCAGGATTGGGAGAATTTCAGGGTAGGAGTACAAAAATGTTTTACTCTTTATTGTTGCAGTTAAAACAACAGGGCTTTTTAAAAAAACAAAAATCATGTAGTTCAGGCTGGCCTTGGACTTCCCAGGCTGGCCTGAAACTCACAGTGATCCTCCTGCCTCAGCCTCCCAACTGCTGAGATTACAGCATGTACCACCATACCCAGCAACAACAGAGCTTTTTTTTTTTTTTCCTATTCTTTTTTTTTTCTTTTTGGTGCTGGTGGGGATCAAACCAGGGCCTCATGCTTGCTAGCCAAGTGTTACACCTCTGAGGCACATCCCTAGCCTAAAAAGGTTTTTTCCCCTTATTATTTCTGCAAAAAAGATGCATTGAGGTGATTCAGATTTTTTTTTGTTTGTTTTTTTCTTTTTTGGTTTTTCTCTGGTACTGGGAATCAAACTCACGACCTTGTACTTGCCAGGCAGGTGCTGTGCCACTGAGCTAAATCCCCAGCCCCTTAGATTTGTATCTAAGAAAAAAGCTCGAGGAATTTAGACACCAAAGCCATCTCCTTTCCAGTTATCCCTGTTCCAAACAGATGATCTTTTTCTAACAACAGACCCGAAAGCTGATTCAAGACCTTTCAGCTGAAATTAGGGGTACTAATCTGACTTGATTGGGTCCATATCTACTGTTAGGAAGTTGGCAGCTTGTGCTTTCATTTTTTGATTCAGATGTGAGAAAACCATGTTGCTATGGTGATAAGACTTGGTTGATGGCTTATGAAGTTCCTTCCAGTGCCTGCTCTTTCCTGTTAGTTTCAAAAGCCAATAGGCTCCAGCTGGTTGAAAACAAAATGTAACCTAAAAGTTTTTCTAGTCTCAAATGCCCTTAGCTGTTCTTCTCTGAGATAGTTGTGTACAGCTACCTGTATCTGGAACCTAAGGGCAAGATCTTACAAAGATACATAAATGGTCCTTACTGTGCTGGGCCAATAATCAGCATATCTGAATCTCTTTTGAAAAGGCTTCATTGGCTAGACTGAGGTTGTAGTAGTGATGGACGCCTTGGACTGAGTTGTAAAGCACAAAACAAAAAGGCCAAGAGATTCCTTGAGAAGAAAGAACCAAAAGTTAATGCCATGCTGATTAAAGGGGGAAATGCAAATACAACAGTGACCCAAGTCCTGGAAAATGTGTATGCACTAAAAAACCATAGGGAGTTCTGTATAAAGAGAAAAACAGCTGAGTATGGTGGTGCACACCTATAATCCCAACACCAGGATGCTGAGGCAGGAGGAATGTTGTGAGTTCGAGACCAGCCTGGGCTAAAAGTGAGCTCAAGACCAGCCTGAACTGCATAGTGAGACCCTATCTCAAAAAGACAAAAAAGAAAAAAATATTACAAGACCATCTGAGGATCCATCATCACTGGAATTCTTTTCAAAGAAGTCAGATTGTTCTTTTTTCATGTGTGGATCCCACAATAAGCATCCCAGTAACCTAGTTATAGGTTGTATGTATGACTACCATGTGCTGGATATGATTGAATTAAGTGTTGAGAAATTTGTGTCTCTAAAAGATACTAAGAATAGTAAATGTCCCGAGGGAACAAAACCCATGTTAATATTTGCTGGCGATGATTTTGATGTGACAGAAGACTACAGAAGACTAAAGAGTCTTCTTTTTTTTTTGTCTTTTTGAGACAGTGTCTCACTATGCAGTTCAGGCTGGGCTTGAGCTCACTTTGTAGCTCAGGCTGGTCTCAAACTTGCAAAGATCCTCCTGCCTCAGCCTCCCAAGTGCTGGGATTATAGGCATGCACCACCATGCCTGGCCTAAAGAGCCTTCTTATTGATTTCTTCAAAGGCTCCACAGTAGCAAATATCCGCCTGGCTCGGTTAGAGTATGTTCTGCACTTTGTCTGTGGCCATTCCACCCTGAACATGCTCTATCTCATCTGTTCTACACTTCACCACTTTGAAGGGGAAGGTTTACTTTCAAAGCTACAAGCTGCTCTTGAAGAAATCCGGTTGCAGAACACCACGGATTGAGTTGGAAGAGATGGGAACTTCATTGGATCTGGTTCTGAGGAGGACACACCCGGCTTCAGATGACCTTTATAAGTTATCCATGAAAATGGCAAAAGCTCTCAAGCCAAAGAAGAAAAATATGTCCCAGGATACTTTTGGTACAACTTATGGAAGGATTCATATGCAGAAACAAGACCTAAGCAAACCACAAGCCAGGAAAATGAAGGGATTAAAGAAGCGACCTGCAGTAAGGCTAACAGAAGACCAGGAGAAAAAGTCAAAGAGAATTAAAAACAATTAATAGAACTTAATCAACAAAAAGCCTTGAGCAGGCCAGGGATATAGCTCAGCGGCACAGTGCCTGCCTGGCAAGCATGAGGCCATGAGTTCGATTCCTGGCACCAAAAAAAAAAAAGGCTTGAGCTAAGTTATCCACAATTAAACTGCTAGCCAAATCACAGATTGGTTTCTTAGCAAGGACCCTTAACCCTAAATTTCATACTCAAAACATTTATGGCTTTTTTTGTTTTTGTTTGAGACAGAGTCTCACTGTATAGTTTAGGCTGGTTTGAACTCACTATGTAGCTCAGACTCACCTCAAACTTGCAATGATGCTCCTGCCTCAGCCTCCCAAGTGCTGGAATTACAAGTGTTTGCCACCATGCCTGGACTATGGCTTTTTTTTTTTAAACAGCAAACAGTGGAGAGTGTAATAAAGAGACAGTGACAGCAGGCTGAGGCAGGAGGATTCCAAGTTTGAGGCCAGCCAAGGCAATTTAACAAGATTGTCTTAAAAAGAGAGAGAGAGAAAAGCCATGTGTAGTGGTGCACACCTGTAATCCAGGGTCTCTGGGAGGCAGAGGCATGAGGATCATCAAATTTGAGCCAAGCCTGGGCAACTTAGTGACTTAGCAAGACCCTATCTCAAAAACAAAGAAAAGCTGGGAATATAGCTCAGTGCACATGTTCTGGGATCAATCTCCAGCATCACAAAACACACAAAAAAACAAAAATGAAAAAAGACAATGAGCTCTGCCCAGATTCATTCCTCATTACTGGAAGAATTCAGTTATATAAATAGTTCTCTTTCTTTCCTTCTTCCTCTCCTCTCTCCCTTCCTTCCTTTTCTTTCTTTCCCAACATGAAAGCAGGAGTTTGCTCGTATATTTATTTTATAAACAAGGATATAGTAGTGAGTGCTTTTTTTTTTTTTATGAGTGCCACTGAGGAACAAATATTGGCTTTTGATCAAAGAGCACTAAAAGCACGATGAAAAAATGTATTTTGAGGATAGGGAGTGGCGCAGGGCTTATGAGATGTGAGATGGGTTTGAGTTACAGCATCATAAAAAAAAAAAATTTTCCCCCTTAACCGCATAAGAAAGCAATGACAAATACCATCCAAATCGTAAACTCCTTTACTGATTCAGCACATACTTTCAGGGTGGGTGGGTGTGTGTGTTTGTGTGTGTGTGTGTGTTCTAACCACATGTTCTACTACTGAGCTACACCTCGGCCCACAATTCTAGTGTTGTTAGCCTTCTGACTTAGACCTTGGCTTTCACGCCCTAGTCCAGGGTGAAAGTTGTACTCAAATACAGGTAAGTCATCACTGGATTCAAGTGACCCCTTTCCAAACCTCTGGAAGGCAGCACCATTAGCAAAAATATACTGTACTTCAAAATACTGTTAGTGCTGTTCGTACCTGAACCCCACTGTGCTAGCCAAAAGAAGTTAGGAGGTAAAGAAAAACAAAACAGCAACAACAAAAAGACCAAATGCCTCTGAGAAAAGACCTGAGCAGCTTCTAGTGAAAGTTATAAAAAATTATAGGAATTTGTTTCTTCTCCTTTTGATTGTTTCAGAACACGAGTCCATGATTCGTATCTTCAATAGGAGATGCTCAGCAGCTGTCTCATCAGCTAGGTTATCCTTCGGTTCCAGGCTCTCAACAGTGTATAACTGGACGTCTCCAGAAAAGGAAAAGGAGCTAAAGTTTGAAGCCTGAATGAATAGCCACAATGCCTGAAGTAAGACTTTCATAAGTCACCTTCTGAAAACCTGCATCTTCTATCATCTCCTTGAACTCTTCCTAAAACACAATGAAAGACACAATAAGGATTATTTGGATTTCAACTTAAAGTCTTTGTCAAGCTATACAGAGGGGTGTGGTGGCACATGCCTGTAATCCCAGCACTGGAGAGGCTAAGGTAGGAGGGTCATAGCGAGTTTGAGACCAGCATGGGCTACAAAGTGACCAGCCTGAACTGCATAGCGAGACCCTGTCTCAAAAAAAAAGAAAAGCTACAGAAATACTGTACCTGAGATGGGAACTTCCGGATACTCTCTACAAGATATTGATAGGATTTCCAGTCTCCTGCAATGACCTCTCCTAGGACAGGAATGACCTGGAAGCTATATAGATCATAAAGCCTAAACAAACAAACAAAAAAGGCAAAAAAATTAAGACTAGAACATGCTCTGAGCTCATTCCCCAAAAAGAAAAAAAAAGTCCTGAACTCTTCCCTCAATAGAAAGCTGGGCATGGTGGTGCATGCCTATAATTCCAGCACCTGGGAGGCTAAGGCTGAGGCAGGAGGATTGCCATAAGTTCAAGGCCAGCCTGAGCTACATAGTGAGTTCAAGGCCAGGGTGGACTACATAGGGAGGACATGTATCGAAGAAGAAGAAAAAAAAGAAGGCCTAAGCTCAGACTCACAAACTAACGCCTGTAAGGGGTCAAGCAAGTGTCTGAAGTAAGGGAAGCGGCTAGTTGCAATACCAAGACACGTGGTAACGGGTACAGTTAGGAAGTACCAGAAACAAAGAGAAGAGGCAGTCAGTGCTTGATTCTGACAACTGCACAGGGGAATATGGGCAACTCAGGTTGCCGTGTATCTGACTTCTCAAATTAAGCTGGCTATCCAGATTTTATTTTATTTAATTTTTGTTTGTTTGTTTGTTTTGTTTTGTTTTTTTCCAACAGGGTCTTGCTCTGTATGTAATTCAGGCTGGCCTTGAACTTGTAGCAATCCCCCTGCCTCAGCCTCCTGAGTGCTGGGATTATAGGCATCCATCACCATACCTGGCTGGAAATCCAGATTTTTACATAAAAATTTCCTGATTATAAATCAATTTCTTGGCCACTGTGTTCTCTTTTGCCCTCTTTTGCCCTCAGGCTGTAGCATGTCCTTTTCCTACTTTTACTTGGCCCAAAATTGCTCAGCAGAGCCTGTTTTTTTCTAACCTTTAGTGAAACCTTGGTATCATTAAAAAAAATAAATCATAGCCAGGCATGGTGGTGCACAGCTGTAATCCCAGCACTTGGGAGGCTGAGGCAGGAGTATCACTGCGAGTTTGAGACCAACCTGGGCTACAAAGTGAGCTTAAGGCTGGCCTGAACTGCACAGCAAGATCCTATCTCAAACAAAAAAAAATAGTAATAATAATTTTTTTTCTTTTCTATTCCTTCATTCGTCCCCTCTCCCTCCCTCCCTCCCTTTTTTAATGGTGTTAAGGACTGAACAAGTGCAAGCTAGGCAAGTACTCTACCCTTGAGCTATATCCTTGGCCCTTTAAGTCGATTTCTTAAAATACTGTATGAGTAAATGAAATACATAATGTTGTTGAACTCGGGCCTCTGGTTACTGATTACTTCTAGCCTAAGTACTGTGACTCTGAGCTAACTGACCTCTTTGGGCAGCAATGTCCTTCATGGCCTCTGTGACCCTGAACTGACTCGCGTGGCTAGTCAGTGAAGATAATCAATGCCAACCTGGAGATGAGCGGATTATTTACTTGGCTAAACTCCAGACACAGAAATCGTCCTCCTGGCTTCAGGACCCGATGAGCTTCTTGGAGTGCCTGAAAGAGACAAGGATATCAGGACACATTCCTCAGCAGACCTCACTCAATTCCATGAGGCCGACAGGATTAGCTGCTCTGGGTTTTATAAACATGATTTCCCACAAATCCCTTGTTTATTCTGTTGGGAAGCCGTAACAGGGGAAATAAACTTATGTATCTTAAATTTTTTTTTTTTTGGTACCAGGAATTGAATTCAGGACCTTGCACTTGCCAGGCAGGTGCTTATGCCACTGAGCTATATCCCTGGCCCCCTAAAGGTTATAGACATTCTGTTGCCCATAACTGTTGGGGTGGGGATTGAGACAGGGTCTCTCTATGTAGCCCATGGGGCTGGGGATTTAGCTCAGCGGCAAAAGCGCCTGCCTGGCAAGCGCAAGGTCGTGAGTTCGGTTCCCGGTACCGGAGAAAAACCAAAAAAAAAAAAAAAAAAATTTATCTATGTAGCCCAGACTGGCCTTGAACTCACAGTGACCCTTTTGTCTCAGCCTCCTGAATAGCTAGGATTTATAGGCATGTGCCACTGTGCCTGACTTAAGGAATCTATTTAATGCAAATGCTTCTACAGTGGAAATGGCATACATATGGACAATTCACTATTTGAATAGTACAAGATTAAAGGAATCTTTAACTAACCATTAATGAGAGTCTGTTTAAATAATGGAAATGTCACACAAATGGAATGTAGAGCAAACTGCTCATTTCATTGGCAGGGAATTAGAAAGGATGGCTAGGCCAAGGTTCCACAATCCCAATAACCTAAGAGCCTCCCTCAACGTCCTGCCTTTTAAGGTCCACAACCCTTGTCAACAGCGCCACCCTTAGGAATAAGTCTTTAACACATGGATTGTTGGGGATACCCATATTAAACTGTTATATATTAGTGTAATATATTTAGCATGTATTACATAACATTTACATAACTTATTCTAGTTCTATTATATTGCTAGCACCTTAAAGACTGCTCCATCCAAAGCAGAAAAGCCAGACAATTGGAGGCCACATTACAGATATGAAATCTGTTGCCTTGCACATAATTTTCAAATTTTTTTGTTGTTTTTTTGAAACAAGGTTTGCTATGTGGTCCACAGTGGCCTTGAACTCACTATGCAGCCCAGGCTGGCCCTGAAATCAGTGATCCTGCCTCAGCCTCCCGAATGCTGGGATCATAGGCAGTTGCCACCATGCCCAGCTTGATTTTCACATCCTTTGAACAGAATGGTAATGCAGAAATAAAGAAGAACTGAAGCAAAAAGAAAAAAAAAAAAAAGCTGAATAAGATTAAAAAAGGAACATTCCCTTCTTTCTGTAGATGAACCATGACCTATCTTCTGCCAAAATAGCATCTGAGTAGCTTTTTCTGTGTCAGCCTCTGACCCTTGATCTGCAAACGGACAGACAGCTTCCCAAGTGAGAGGAAGTAGATGAAATGCCAGAGCAAGACTAACCTTCCCAAACATGTAAACGCCAACCCAAGCAACCAGGACTTCCATTGGGAGCTGCTCTGTGATTTTAGTCCTTTTCCATTCAGTAACTAGGAAAACCGGCAATTTAAAAGAAGCCCCTAGGGGCTGGGGATTTAGCTCAGTGGCACAGCGCCTGCCTGGCAAGCACAAGGTTGTGAATTCGATTCCCGGTACTGGAAAAAAAAACCCAAAAATAAAAAATAAAAAATAAAAAAATAAAAGAAGCCTGTAAGCTTAAAACAGTCACTCTACTAAGTGCTGGGCAAGAATCTCTCCTCCCCTCTTTCACTATGGATTTACTCCAAGAGAACCGGTATCTTGAAAGTCATACAGGCTGAGGATACAGCCATTCATACCTGATCAATGTGTGTGACATTTCGGATCCCGAAGGCAATGGTGTAAACATCAAACTTGTGATCATCAAAGGGCAGTTCTTCAGCATCTCCCAGTACCCATGCAAGTCCTGAAAGAGAAAATCAATTGAGTTTCACCTTCAGCTGTCTTCCTTGCCTGCAGCAAATTATTATTATTATTACTACTCTTACTACTAGTACTACCATTATTATTGTTCTGGCTATGATTATTGTTATTATTATTACTATTATTGAGATAGAATTTCACTAGGTAATGTAGGATGATCTTGAACTCACTATTGCAATGCAGGTGGCCTCACACTTAAGAGATCCTCCTGCCTCAGCCCCCCGAGTCGTAAGTGCTGGAATTCCAGGTGTGTGCCATCATTCCTGACAAAACCCAGAAGATTATTGAGCCAAAAGAATTTGTAGTTGGGCAGGCAGAAGTATGAGCAGCCACAGCACCCAATTTATGGCTGGCATCTGAAGTGGAGGCAGTTTTGTGGGACTGAACCGTTAAACTTATAGCAGATGATGTGAAATCTGGGTAGTGTCAGAAATGAAGTGAGCAGTTTGGTATCAACCTGCTGTTGGGAAATTGTTTTGTGCTGGGAAAATACCACATATGTGTGTTTTTATTTTTGTTTTTTTGAAGGTACTGAGAATTGAACTCAGGACCTCGTGCTAGGCAGGCAGGCGCTGTGCCACTGAGCTATATCCCCAGCTCCAATACTACATATTTGCTGTCAGAAAATATACTCCTGCCTTCTCCACTCAGTTCCTGGCAACTGCCTTCATGGTGTCCTCCGATCCTAAGAGCCTGGACCTAATTCCTTGAAGTCTGTCCTTCTTCTTAGCCTTTCTTTCAAGGGCCTCGCAGTACAATCAAATCACTGCTTAGGTTACCTACCCTCATGCAATTTTTACTTGGATCCTGGGGTTCAAACCCAGGGTCTTGGGCATGGTAAGCAGGTAGGTACTTTATCACTAAGCTATATAACCAATCCCACCCTCAAGCATTTTTTACCCAACTGTTTTGTGTAGAGCATTAAGAGTACAGATCTTGTGGTTGGACTGCCTATGTTATACTAATTTTATATTGTATTTTATTTTTTGGATACTGTAGATTGATCCCAAGGCCTTTGCACTGAGCTACATACCCAGGCCTTGCTGTGTAATTCAGGCTGTTGTTGAAGCCACTATGTAGCTGCTCAGGCTGGCCTCAAACTCATGACATTCCTGCTCCATTCAGCCTTCCAAATGCTGGGATTACAGGTGTGTGTCACCATACCCAGTTCCCAGGCCTTTTTTGTTTTGTTTTTTTTTTGGTTTTGGTTTTTCTCCGGTACCGGGAACCGAACTCACGACCTTGCGCTTGCCAGGCAGGCTCTTTTGCCGCTGAGCTAGATCCCCAGCCCCCCCAGGCCTTTTTAAAAATTCTTATTTTTTAATTTGGAGACAAGTTCTTGCTAACTCGCTAAGTTGCCCAGGCTGGACTCAAACTTGAGATGCTTCTTCCTCAGCCTCCCAGAGCACTGTAATTATACACCTGGGACAACATTCTTGGCAAAATAAGTGTTTTGATGGGCCAAGCATAGGAAGTTCTTTCTTCTTTTTTTTTTTTTGTACTGGGAATCAAACTCAGGACCTTGTGCTTGCCAGGCAAGCGCTCATGCCACTGAGCTATATCCCCAGCCCAAGTTCTTCTTTCTTTCCTTTTTTTTTTTTGAGGTGGTGGCAATGGAATCCAGGATCTTATGAATAGTAGGCACATGCTCTACCACTAAGCTACATCCCAGCCTAGAAGGTTGGGTTTATAAACAGGTAAAGGTCGAAGAAAGCAGTAATAATAGAGCAGGAAAGAAGACTGGTCATTTCAGGCAGGCACTGTACTGCTGAGCTATCTCCCCGGCCCCAAGATTGGTCTTTTCAAAGTTAATTTCCCTGTAACAGGAGGCCAGAGAATGGCCTTTAGGGGAAGGTAAATGAAAATAATCTTTCAAAATACAAACTAGTGCCAGGTGTGGTGGCGCATGTCTGTAATCCCAGCACGTGGGAGGCTGAGATAGGAGGATCGCTATGAGGTCGAGACCAGTCTCAGCTACATAGTGAGTTCAAGGCCAGTCTGCACTATAGAGGAAGAACCTATTGCAAAAAAACAAACAATAAAACAAAGTAAAACAAAGAGTTTAAACTGGTATTGTTGCTAGGCATGGTGGCACCTGCCTGTAATCCCAGCACTTGGGAGGCTGAGGCAGGAGTCTTGCCATGAGTTCAAGGCCAGCCTGGGCTACATAGCGAGACCCTGTCTCCAAAACAAACAAACAAAAAACAAAGAAAAGACAAAAAGAAACTAGTACTACAGTATCAAGAGCTTTTTTTAAAAAAAGCATACCCTTCTCTACAATGAATTTGATCATTTTATATATCAAAAGTGTACCAGTGGTGCACTCCAGTAAACCCTGGCTTAGAAGGTTGAGCCAGGAGGATCTTTGTAAGTTTGAGACCAGCCTGGGCTACAAAGTGAGCTCAAGGCCAGCCTGAACTACAGAGTGAGAACTTGTCTCAAAAAGACCAAAAAAAAAAAAAAAAAAAGTGTACCAATAAAATTAATTTTAAAAAACTACATACTCTTCACTTCTTATTTAAAATAGCCAGGCAGTTCGGATGTGGTGGCTCCTGCCTGTAATCCCAGCACTCAGATGGCTGAGGCAGGAAGATTGCCACAAGGTCAAGGCCAACCTGGGCTACATAATGAGATCAAGGCCAGCCTGTATTACAAAATCAGACCCTGTCTCACAGAAAACAAAAAAAGATGGCAACCTTGGGCTGTGGGCTGCGCTGGCCGGGCAGGCAGTGTAGAGCCTGGTTCAGGGGCACCTCTGCTCTGCCAGAGCTGCAGGCTTCCTCTTCTCTACCATGTCCATCGCCCATTCGCTTCCCAGATGGTAGGGGAGCTCAAAGTGACTCAGGATCTTAGAGGAAAGTTTCCTCCAGCTATGGCTATCAAGGTCACTGACATTTCAGGAGGCCTCAGAGCCATGAATAAAATTAAAATTGAATAAGAAGAACTTAAAGAGAACAGTCCAGCAGCACCAGAAGGTTAATCGGGCATTAAAAGAAGAAATCAAAGGGCTGCATGGGCTGTGGATATTTACCTCTGTCCCCAGACACTGATTCTGACCTGGCCGTGTAGATGCTGTGCCTAAAGCTCTGGATGACTTCATCTGCAGCATTCTTCACCAAAAAATGTATCTGTTTTTGTTCACAGAGATTTCCATATTATGATTATAGAAGATATGTTAACTATAGGCCACAGACAAATAATAATAAGATAAAACACAAATAAGGGCTGGGTGTATAGCTCAGTGGTACAGCGCTTGCCTAGATGTATGAGGCCACTGAACATTATATATGTGTAATTTCTAGTGTCCTCTTACTTAGTTTCAACTTGCTTTCATCGGATTGAACCCAGGGCCTTCTCACTGAGGTACATCCCCAACCCCTTTTAAATTTTACTTTGAGACAGGGTCTCACTAAGTTGCTCAGCTGCCTAGGCTGAGTTTAAACTTTCAATCTTCCTGCTTCAGCCTCCTAAGAGGGCTGGGGTTTCAGGCATGCACCACCACCACATCCAACTTCAACTTGTTTTTGCATGTAAGTTTCACAAAGGCATTACTGAGGACTGATGCAGCAAAAAGGAAAGAAAACTGTACTTGCACTATGGTATGCAGTGCTTAATAATGCCCTGACAGGGCCGGGGATATAGCTCATCGGCACAGCACCTGCCTGGCAAGAACAAGGCCCTGAGTTTGATTTCTGGTACCAAAACAAAACAAAACAAAACAAAACAAAACAAAAGAGAGCCTTGACAGTCAGGAAAGTCTGAAGGAGAGCTTTGCAATGGAAGGTATGATTCCAGAAATGGAATTTTATCTATCATTTCAACATGTGCTCTCTGTTCTTTATGGCTGAGCACCAGAGAGAAGGGAAACACACTTGTCAGTAGGAATGAGAGAACATAGTGGCTTTGTCTAAAAGCACTGGCGACTGTCTGCTATCTGATTAGTACTGATGGCTAACAAAAGAGTCCTTCATCTCGGAGACCAAGTGGGCTGCAGTTCATCTAGGCAGCTCTTTCTGGGGGCAGGAGGAAAGAAGGAAGAATTGGGCTATAACAGCCATAGCCACTCACAGTGGGCAGGGAGGGGAAAGAAATGTTGATGTTGACCCCAGGGACTTTCTTGTTTTGTTGCATACCCATGCTCCTCACTAAGGCTGTCTCAGTGCCCAGCCAGCTTAGAAGAGGGCAGTGCAGCAGCCCTGAGAGCTAGTCAACAAGGTGCAGTTTCCAGGGTCTTTAACTACCTTGAAAAAAATTAGAGACAGCTGGTGTGTTTGCACACGCCTGTAATCCCAGCATTTGGGAAGCTGAGCCAGGAGGACTGTCTTGAGTTGAAAGCCAGCCAGAACTATATAGCAAGACCCTATCTCAAAAAAACGACACAAGACAAAACAAAATAAAATGGGCTGAAGATGTAGCCCTTTGAGGGTTTAATCTCCTATACCATAAAAAATAAAATAAAATAAACAAAAAGTGTTCTGCCTGGAAGCCAGGCATGGTAGCTCACAGCTAACAGGAGACAGAGGCAGGAGGATCACAACTTTAAGCCCAGCCCGAGCAATTCAGCGACTTAGGAAGACCCTATCTCCAAAATAAAAAATAAAAAAGGGCTGAGGCTGTAGCTCAGTGTGAACACCCTGGGTTCAATCCCAAGTATGACAGACAAGCAAAAGAGTCCTGCTTGGGAAATGTCTAGGCCCTGGAAGCTGCACAGTGCTCAGGCATCATCTAGAGGCTGCCGATCTCGATCATGGCCTTCCTTGAAAGCTGAGGCAGAGACTGAAATGCTAACGGTTGGAAGCTGCTACCTAAGGGCACACCCTGTGGCCAAAGGGCAGGCTCTGTCTTTACAGATCTGCGCAGCCAGTCCAGTGCGAATAGGAGAATGGAATGGCACAGGAACAGGAATGACATACATAGGCTGTGGTTGTCTCAGAGGTGCTGGGAATTTAAAGCAAAACCTTCATCTCAGGATCCCAGAGCTAAGATCCAAAGATTCAGCTCTAATTTGGGATCTGACACTTAAGGATGCATAACTTTAGTAAGACCCTTAACCTCTTTGTGCTTTAAGTATCTCCTCAGGCATAGTGGGCTCTTCATCTAGTTTAAAGATTGCTGAAATAGCTGGGCGTGGTGGCACAAGTCTGTAATCCCAGCACTCGGGAGGCGGAGGCAGGAGGATCGTTGCAAGTTCAAGACCAGCCTGGGGGCTGGGGATTTAGCTCAGCGGCAAAAGCGCCTGCCTGGCAGGCGCAAGGTCGTGAGTTCGGTTCCTGGTACCGGAGAAAAACCAAAAACAAAAAACAAAACAAAGACCAGCCTGGGCTACAAAGCGAGCTCAAGGCCAGACTGAACTGCATAGTGAGACCCTGTCTCAAAAAGACAAAAATAAAATTTTTTTTAAAAAAATCAAAGATTGCTGAAATAATGAATACAACAGCACATAAGCTGGACATGGTGCTGTATGCCTGTGATCCCAGCACTTGAGAGGCTGAGGCAGGAGGTCTGCCTCAAGTTTAAAGGCCGGCCTGGGCTACATAAGGAGTTTAAGGCCAGCCCGAGCTAGACAAAACCCAAATAAACAAACAAATGAACAACAACAGCAAAAAAATCCTGAAAACACCAAAGCAGGACTCAACCACACAAATGATCTTCAACTTCTGCTTCACTATAAATTTCTTTTTAACAAAAATTTTTAAATTTTCATTAAGTACGCATTTGTAAGGCATAATGATTACAGGCATTGCAGAGAGCTGACACACATGCACATCTTTTTTTTTTTTTTCCTTCGGTATCGGGAATTGAACTCATGACCTTGCGCTTGCCAGGCAGGCACTGTGCCGCTGAGCTAAATCCCCAGCCCCAACACATGCACATCTTAATTCTTTGTACTTCTTCCCCTTTCCCTTTCTGCCCTCCCCTTAACGATAAGTTTCTGAAAGCTGCAATACAAAGCATTTCAACATTTTATGTAATGTACCTTATATTATAAACATACAAGTATATCCTCTGTGTCTACTTCCATAGGACTCACCAGCCTTGTATCCTTGGTCAGAGGCTTTCTTCCGTCCCACCTTTAACATCTCCCTGTTGATGTCACAGATCATTACACGGGAACCACCCAAGGGATCCTCTTCATTCTGATACCTTTTGGCAATTTCCTCCCAGGATAAATTCTGTTGAGCCTTTAACTGCCTTTTCTGCTTTCTCTGATGCTGTGCCTGAACATAATTAAGGAACCGGAATGCAATGTCACCTGTGGGATGCCAACAGAAGAAACAAAGGTTGAAAAAACAGCATTTCCTAACCCCGAAAGGAGCAACAGAGGAATAGGAGTGGATAAGTGCACGGAAATGCAAGTCTGGGCTGCAGGGTAGCTCGGAGCGCTTGCCTAGTGTATTCAAGGCTCTGTGCTCCATTGCCAGTCCTGAAAAAAAATTAAATAAACTCCTTAAATGAAAGAAAATGGAAGTTTAAACTTCTTTAATAATCTTTCCTTTAAACAACTTTTTAACTCCTAAGGGTTTTTGGTGTTGTTTTTGTTTTTTTGAGACAGGGTCTTGCTACGTAGCCCCGGCTGGCCTCAAACTTGTGGCAATTCTGCCTCAGCCTCCCAAGTGCCGGGATGACAGGCATGTGCCACTATGCCCTCCTAAGATTCTTTAAAACCTTTCATAAAACATTGCTAAACAGTTGGGAATAGATTAGTCTCATAATCTCAGCATTCATGGAGGCTGGGGCAAGAAGATCACAAATTCAAGCCCAGCCTAGGTAACTTAGCCATTCCTGGTCTCAAAAATTTTAAAAAGGGCTGGGATGTTGTTCAGTGCTTAGGGCCGGGGTTCTATCCCCAGTACCAGGAAAAAAAATTGCCCAAGTAATGCTAGGATAGATTCTGACTATAAAAGACTCAAGAATCACTAGTATCACAAAAAAAGATAAGACACAGCACCTAAATATAGAGAATAAGACATCAAAGTTATCTCCAAATATAAACCACACAGACTTTTTCTGGAAATGCTGGAAATGGAGATGTGCCAGCTTGGGGTCGCAGGGTCGCGTGAGTGTGGAGTCGGCCGGCGTCCTGCACATCTGCTGCTACGTCCTGAGTGCCATGTCGTGGGGACCAACTGGCTCAGTGCAATTCGAGCTAGCTTTGGTGAGGGAGTGGGTAGCTGTGACAGCTTACTGCAGCAGTGACCAGGACACTACCTTCTAGAAGTAATGCCCACAGAAAGCGGGAATTATTCAACTGCTCATCAAGCAAAACAAAAATGCAAACCACACAGCCTTTTTTTAAGAGAAAAAAATAAAACAAAAGTTCAAGCAAGGTAATAGGAGGGTAACAATGGTTAATACATTGTGTATTGCTACCCTTAAATTAGTTATTCAGAGTATAAGATATCGGCATTTAATTGTCCAAACAATATTAGCACAAACCTTTCTTTTCTTTTCTTTTTTTTTTGTGTGTGTTTTTCGAGACAGGGTCTCGCTATGCAGTTCAGGCTGGCCTTGAGCTCATTTTGTAGCCCAGGCTGGTCTCAAACTCACAATGATTCTCCTGCCTCAGCCTCCCAAGTGCTGGGATTACAGGCAGGCGCCACCATGCCCGGCATCAAACCTTTCTTTTCAATGAACAAAGAGAAATTAGTTGCATAACTATCTTACATATATATATATATATCTTTTTTCTTTTTGCTTTTCCCTTCCTTCTTTTCTGCATTCCCCCATCCCAGTTTCTCTTTCCTTTTGAAGTTTCTTCCCGTTTTACAATACCTATTGTACATTTTGGATCTTATCTACTCTTTCAGCTTCTCACACTAGGGAGACAATATAATGTTTACACATGTGATCTGGTTTATTTCACTTATGAGTATGGTCTTGAGTTGCATCCATTTACCTATAAAAGTCTCCAGTGTATCCTTCTTTATGGCTGAGTAGTACTCTACTGTATAAAAAGACCACAACTTTTTTATTCATTCCTTGGTTGATGGGCATTTGGGTTGTTTCCAAGATCTAGCTCTTACAAACTGTGCTGCTCTAAATATGGGTGGACATATATCGCTGTGGTACGATGTTTTTAATTCTTTTGGGAAGATACCCAGAAGAGGAATAGCTGGGTCAAATGAGACCTTTGTTTTTGTTTGTTTTTTTCCAGTACTGGGAATTGAACTCACAACCTTCCACTTGCCAGGCAGGTGCTGTGCCACTGAGCTAAATCCCCAGCCCCACAAATGAGACCTTCAATCCTGGTTTTTTGAGGAATCTCCACATTGATTTCCACAGTGGCTGCACCAGTCTACACTCCTACCAACAGTGGAGAAGGGTTCCTTTTCCCCCACAGCTCCTCCAGCATTTGTTATTGGTTGATTTCTTGATGACAGCCACTCTTTCTGGGGTGAGATGGAATCTCAGTGTTGTTTTAATTTGTTTGTTTTTGTTTGTTTGTTTTTCTTCAAGTACCAGGAATCGAACTCACGACCTTGTGCTTGCCAGGCAAGTGCTTTGCTGCTAAGCTAAATCCCCAGCCCCTAGTGTTGTTTTAATTTGCATCTCTTGAATGACCAGTGATGTTGAATATTTTTTCATATACTTATTTGCTGTTTGTACTTCTCCATCTGAGAAGTGTGTATTTATCTCAGATGCCCATTTTTGGATTGGGTCTTTAAATTTGGGAGGCCTGATTTTTCTTTTTAGTTCTTCATATGTTCTTTATAGTAAACCTTTGTCTGAGGAACAGCTGGCAAACATTTTCTCCCACATTGTGGGTTATCCTTTCACTCTGTGGGTGGTTTCTCTTGCTCACATAGCCTTTTTTTTTTTTTTTTTTTTCCACATAGTCTTTTTTTTGGTTTTTTTTTTCTGGTACCGGGAATCAAACTCATGACCTTGCGCTTGCCAGGCAGGCACTGTGCTGCTGAGCTAAATCACCAGCCCCAACATAACCTTTTTATATGAAGAAGTAACAGCTCAGAACAGAAGGGGACAGGCCTACCAAGAGAAATGTTAGGACAAGATTCTAAACTGCCTCCCTCAGTTTGCAGCACACTTCTGGAACTGTCTGGTCAAATAAAAAGAGAATTTGAAAACATTTACATTGAAAACTTAGAATTACATAGAGAAATTGATACTCTTAACGCTTAGCTGTTGCTGAAGCTTAAACAATGGACCGGCAGAACTGAATAAGGGCCAATTCTAGGCAAAAGCTAGTCATAGTACCAGTCAGCTTCCTCAGAAACTAAAGCCCACTTACAAGGCTTCCACCAGCAAGAGCATGTCTAGCTGTATGAACACCACATCGCGGGCTGTCTGGCAGCCTGTGAGAGTACACTGGCCACGGAGATGGCACCTGGGACGTCACCGTAAGGACACACAGCCTGTGGTGTTTGGGACCGTGTCTGCTGACCACACAGCTTTGCTGTGGAGCACACAGACAGGGAAGTGCCTTGTCAAACACTCCGGCCACAGAGGTTCAGTAAATTCTGTAAGATTTCACCTCTCAGAGCGCTGGTTCTCCCTGCCTCTGGCGATCAGACTGCTTATATTTGGAGATACGCGGTGCAGCTGTCGACTTCCCAGCCTGCTGACAACACTTGTTCATATGAGGACAGCATAAGAGGGAAACCATCTGCAAGCCAGGAAGACAGCCCCCACCGGAAACCAAACTGGAATCTTGATCCTGGACTTCAGACTTCCACAACTATGAGAAAATTAATTTCTGATGTTTATAAGTTACACAGTTTGTAGTAATTTGTTATGGCAGCTGGAATTAACTAAGGCAGGCTGGGCTACATAGCAAGTTTGAGGTCAGCCTGAACTACACAGATCTCATCTCAAAACAAACAAACAAACAAGAAAAAAGAAAAGAGGCAGACAAAAATTTGGTTCTTTTGTTTGTCTATATTGTGGTGCTAGAGACTGAACCCAGGGCCTTGTGCACACTAGGTAAATACTCTACCAGTAAACTGTATTTCCACCACTCAAAGTTGCTTTTGATTGATAATTTTGGATGCTATCTCAGAAATTGTATCTTCAGCCTAACGATAGGTGAAGTAGCTTGTTCTAACAAGAGACAAACGCTCTCAAAGATGCTGAACGGTACCTAAGGACATTACATTTGACATTACCTGTGCCTCCAGCAACATCCAGCAGTTGAGTCCCAGGGAACGGGTTCATCTTCCACAGAAGCATATCTTTCCAGACACGGTGGATGCCCAGACTCATCATATCATTCATCAAATCATACTTCTTGGCCACACTTTCAAACACCTGATAGACTGACACGGGAGAAACACACAGTTGTGTTATTAGTAAGATTAATTTGGGAGAACCCTAAGTTAAAAGAGGAAGAGGCCTACTGTGGTGGCACATGCCTACACTCCCAGCACTTGGGAGGCTGAGGCAGGATTATGGCGAGTTTGAGGCCAGCCTGGGCTACAAAGTGCATTCAAGGCCAGCTTGAACTGCAAAGAGAAACCTTGTCTCAAAAAGAGTGATGATAATAATAATAGGGACAGCAGGGGATAGTGATATATGCTTGTACTCCCAACACTTTGGAAAGCTGAGACAAGAGGACCTCACGTTCTTTTTTCTTCTTTTTCAGTTTTTTTGAGAGAAGGTCCACTATGTAGCCTAGACTGGCCTTGAATTCACTATGCCTAGGTTGGTCTCAAACTCATTGCAATCCTCCTGTCTCAGCCTCTCCAGTGTGGGCTTACAGGAGTGTACTATCATGCCCAGCTAAAGCTATTTTGATATAAGGCTGTGCACCTAGATCAGGTGTGATAACGCATACCTGTGATCCCAGAGGCTAAAGCAAAAGGGTTTTTTTTTTTTTTTTTTAGAATGGTTGTGAGTTTAGCCTTAGAACTGAATACATGTTTCTATTTCTTAGAGGATGCAGTGTGTATGTGTGTGTGTGTGTGTGTGTGTGTGTGGTGGTGGTGGTTTCTTTTCTCCCTCCCTTTTTATTTCCCTGGTGCTAGGGATTGAACCCAGAGCCTTAGATGTGGTAGACAAGAGTTCTTTCATTGGGCCATATCTCCAGCCCAGGAACTGGAATTTTTTTAATGGTTATTATAATAAAAGACATCAAAACTCACAAGAAAGACACGACTAACACAGATAGAAAGATCCCTCATCTAAAAAAAAAAAAGAAAGAAAGAAAGAGCGGGGAGGGATGTAGAATATGGGATAGCTGGGAAGTCTACTGTGAGACATGACACTCAGAAGAACACATTCCCTTTAAAGACATATTTCAGCCAGGTGTGGTGGCTCATGTTTGTAAGCCCAGCACTCAAGAGGCGAAGGCAGGAAGAGTACTGTGAGTTTGAGGACAGCCTGAAGTACATAATAAGACCTCCTCTTTAAAAAAAAATCCTTGCTCCCCAAAAGACCCATACAAACTGTCTAAAGCTACATTTTATTTCTTCTTCTTCTTCTCTTCCTGTTCTTTTTTTTTTTTTTTTGGTACGGGAATTGAACTCACGATCTTGCACTTGCCAGGCAGGCGCTGTGCCGCTGAGCTAAATTCCCAGCCCCTCTTTTTCTGTCTTTTTGAGACAGGGTCTCTCTATGCAGTTCAGGCTAGCCTTGAGCTCCCTTTGTAGCCCAGGCTGCTCTTGAACTTGCAATGATGCTCCTGCCTCAGCCTCCTGAGTGCTTGGATTACAGGCGTGCGCCATCAGGCCTGGCTACATTTTATTTCTTTGTACTTTTTTTTGAGACAATCTGGCTGTGTAATCCTAGCTAGTTTTCAGTTCACAATGTAGGCCAGACTGGCCTCAATTCAGTGATTCTTTTGCCTCGGCCTCCCAAATGTGGGGACTACAGGCATGTGTCACATGCATGGTGGTAAGGTTGAATTAGAAAATGAAAGGGTGCGGGGCATGGTGGCCCACGCCTGTAATCTCAGCACTCAGGAGGCTGAGGCAGGAGGATTGCTGTGAGTTCAAGGCCAGCCTAGGCTATAAAGTGAGTTCAATGCTAGCCTGAACTGCATAGCAAGACCCTGTCTCAAAATGCTCCCCCCCACGCACACAAAAAAAGAAAGAAAATGAAAGGGGAGATGTTCTGAATCCCTCTAAATGTCCTGCATACAATGTAAAACATTATTCTTTGTGAACCAAACTGCAGAGTACTCCTTTCACTAAATTATTTCTTCTTTTTTGTGGTACTGAGGGTTAAACCCAGTCTCCTGCATGCTAGGCAAGCACTCCACCACTAAGCTACGTGGTATCTCCCCACTTTTTTGAGACATGGTCTTGCTGGATTACTTAGGCTGGCCTCAAACTGGATTTTTCTGCCCCAGCCTCCCAAGTCACTGGCATTATACCTATTATCATGGCTAGTTTTTAACTGAATCTTGAATGGTTTATTCTCCACTCTTGAGTCTCCAGCTGGCTGTTTTCTTTGGAACCTTTTTTGAGGTCACTGAGAGACACAAAGGTTCAAACTACTAAGTATAACTGTTCTTGCTGTGCAGATTCCAATATGCATAAATTTCAGTTACTGTGGCTTAAGTAACACCAGTACTCCAACATTACAGTGGTATGATAGCTACAATTGCATGCAGTACAAACTTCACTAGCAGTCCTCGGCCACAAATCACTGTGGTGCTAACAGATAAACATGCCAATCAGTAACCAGTGACATCCCTTCTCTCACAGATTGTAGGTGACCAGTCGTTGAATTAGCTACTATGTTTACATATGGCAAAGCATCTACTGCAGTTGTGTTGCCTCCTTGTCCTTCAGTGAAATCCATGTGACACAACTACATAAGTGACAGGAAATTGGGCCTCTCACATGCTAGGATTACAAGGGTGTATCACCACACTCAGGCTCAGTAATTTTTTTTTTTTTTTTTGAGACAAGGTTTCACTATGCAGTTCAGGCTGGCCTCAAACTTGCAATGATCTTCCTGCCTCAGCCTCCTGAGGGCTGGGATTATAGGTGTGCACCACCACGCCCAGCTAGGCTCATTAATTTTTAAAGGTCATGGACCAGTTGCAATTTTCCATTCTTTATACCAAGTAGTCTTTAAGAGGATGGGAAATTACATTGTGGGTTATTTTCTTATTTCCTGGTGACTGTTAGATCTAGTGAAGGACCTCTCAGTCTCTCCTTACCCACCTGTAAAATGGGCATACTTTCCTCATTATAAATGGAATAGGTGAAGTTTAAAAACATTTCTTTTCCTTTCCCATGCCTGTGGCAGTGCTGACACAAAGAAACTGCTCAATAATTTCTAATTTTAACTGTGCATTACTAAGCACCAGGCACTATTGAAGGTACTTTAACATGTGAAAGTAATACAAGAACTGTAAATAATACAAGAATTATTCCTACTTGGCAAATTAGGAAACTGAGGCCCCAAAAGTTGCCTTCTTTGTTTGAAAACTGGCCTCTCTTTTCAGCAAGAGGCTAAGAACGTGTATTTTGAAGTCAGAACAAATTGGGTTGGAATACTGGTTCAGCAACTTGCTAGCTATGTTAAATTTGGCAAGTTCTTGCTTAACCTTTAAGCGCGGTTTCCTCACGTGTTAACATTTGGATAACAATACCAACCAATGGAAAGCTGAAAGGAGAACTGGAAAAAATGTCCTCACATTGCATAGCACATCATAAATAGTCTATGATGGGTCTGAATGACAAGACCCATTGCTCTGTTAAAAAGGGGAGTAGCCAGGCACGGTGGCGCACTCCTGCAGCCGGAGGATCTCAAGTTCCAGCACCGCCAGGGTAACCTCGTGACCTAAGAAAGACCCTATCTCAAAACGAAAATTTAAAAAGGTGTCGGGGGGCCACTGTAGCTCAGTGGGAAGGCCCTGGGCTCAATCCTCTGTTCCGGGCTTGGGAAGCGGGACGATGGTGCGCCTAACTTTGCGGGACACGGGGAGGGGAGGCTCTTTGGAAGTGGGGACTGCAGGTAACAGCACTGAAACTAACAGGACGTCAAATCTGTCCGTAGCTGAGCAGAAGAAATTAGATCACAGACGGACAGATCCCATTATCCGCCCTCTCGCCCCTTTCACCTTTGCCCCCCTTCTCCTCCTCCGACACAGTCTCAAATCCGAAGTGCGTTTCCGTTGCTTGCTTCTCTTGAGACAAGAGCCGCACACCCAGCGAGCCCGCGGGCAAGGAGCTATGAAGCCACTGGGGCCCGCCGGTTCGCATCAATCGCGACCATCCACGGCCGCAGTAGCTCCATAGAACACAGCTCCTGGGGGTCGCCATCTTGACAGGTAATAGGGGGCTGGAGAAGATCCTGTAGTAGCGCTTGACTGACTACGGCGGCCGGTTGGAGACATTATTAGCCGAACGCGCCCTAAACTCTTATATTTTTGAGTTTTTTGGGATCTGGAGTGCTAGTCCTTGAACCCAAAAACTCTTCCTCTCTCTCTTCCAAAATCGAATTCAGAACTCACCAAGAATGAGGAGAGCGCAAGGCGAGTTCCCAATCACCTCTCAGCAGCCATGTCTCAATCCTGCCAGCCAGTAGTACAACTACAACTGGCAAGTAATTCTTGTTTTTGGCTTTGGAACCGGAAAAATCCTCAAGGTATGGTAGTTAAAAGGCCAAGGTCACGATGTCTATTCCAAATTTTATTTTATTTATTTAATTTTATTTTTTGTCTTTCTGAGGCAGGGTCTCACTATGCAGTTTAGGTTGGCCTTGAGCTCACTTTGTAGCCTAGGCTGGCCTCGAGCTCACAATGATCCTCCTGCCTTAGTCTCCGGAATGCTGGGATTACAGGCGTGTGCCACCACGCTGAGCTTCTATTCCAAATTTTAGTGTGTGTAAAAAACACCTGTTTGTTATTTTTAGTTGTTTTTTTTTAGACACGGTCTTGCTATGTAGCCCAGTTAACTTGGAATTTGCTTTTTATCCCAGGCTGGCTTGGAGCTCACCATCCTCCTGTCTCAGCCTCTCCAGTGCTGATTGTAATATCATGTGCCACTCCACTCAAATTTGCTTGATCTTTAAAATGCAGATTCCTACCTAGCAAGAGTGAGGCCCTGGGTTGAATACCCAGTACCAAGATGCAATGGGGAGTAAAATTCCCCGGCCCGGACTACCAGTGATTTTTAATGAGTATATCTGGCACTGATATAGGACCTCTAAATGATAGAAAGGAAATAAAACTCTCAACTTGTTGGATGTCTGATATGCTGAGTTTGTGTCCCCCAAAATCAAACAATGAATTTTAAGGAAAAACAATAGTAAATTTTATTGAGGGCAAGATAGCTCCTGAGTGACAGGAAGGGGCCCAAGTGGATTTCCATGGATTTGATTTTCTAGAGGAAGTTTTATAGAGCAAAATCACAAAGTGGGTGTAAAATCGAGAGGTGGGTACAACATAGGAGAAAACTATATCCAACCAAAGGTTTTAAGTATAGCTGCTTAGGTAATGTTGATCTAATGAGGAAGCAAGTCACAAATCAAGTGTATGTGCAAAGAACAAGGACCTTTTTTGGAAGAGATGACTCAGAAGGTCCTGGTCACCCACCTGTGTGACTGAGGTCTATCTAGACTTTATTAGACCAGGTGATACCAATTGTAATATATTGCTTATCCCTTGGCAGGCATGTTGGTCTGGTCATTCTGTTTTTATCTTGAGGCCTGGCCTTTAATGGATGTGCCTTCAGCCACAGTTGTAATATATTATCTTTTGCACTGACTCCCTTGAGGGCCTAGTCCTGTCTGACTGCCTGTAATATTTCTACCTAACTCAGCTGTCTATAATGGTACCAGAGACTTTGAATCAGTACATCTGGTACATATATGATATATATCCCATATCCCTGGCATCTTCTTTTTCTTTTCTTTTCTTTCTTTATTTTGGTACCGGGAGTGGAATTCATGACCTTGCACTTTCCAGGCAGGTGCTATGCCACTGAGCTATATCCCCTTCTCAGTTCCTCTCCTTTCTTTTTCTTTTTCTTT